AATAGCTCTAAAATAAGTATTTTATTTTAAACACGCTGCAAAACAGCACCAGATCAGTAATTAAGGCTTATTGTTTCCTATTTGGTTTAGATACTCACCATCAGTGCAAATTCCTGAGGGCTTAATTTGTAGGAGTTTCATCTGATTAATGTAGGTATCACTCTTTCATACAAGATAAATATTGTGTGGTTACCAGCTGCAATTGAAATGTCTAACTTTGTGGCAGATGCTGGTCTATGTGACCTTTTGTAACAGGAGGGTTCTTTTACCAGTTGAGCTTTTGGTTTCATATTTCTCATCCACTCCATTCTGCCAGCTTAACTGAGAGTTTACATCAAAATCTAATTAGAGTACACATGCTGTTTAGGAAAAAGTTCTTGGAAAAGTCATGACTCATAAGAGCTTTGATATACCCAGCCAGATAAATGAGAATAAATAAGAATAACTGCAATTTTATTGTTTTGAATTATTTTCAACCAACTTCTTAAATAATAAGAGCTGGGCATAGATTTTTGATTAAAAAAAAAAAAAAAAAAAAAAAAAAAAAGCCCCGGCGTCCCCGCGCTGTCCCCGCGGCGGTGGCACCCACCTTTGATGATGGACTTCATGTCACACTTGGACGAGTCGATGTTGTGCAGGGCCACCAGCAGCTCCCCGGGGCTGAGCGGGGACACGGCCGAGGCGCCCTCGCCTGCGGGGACAGTGACAACCGCGTCAGGGGACAGTGACAACCGCAGCGAGGGGACAGTGACAACCGCATCAAGGGGGACAGTGACAACCAAATAAATAAATAAATAAATAAAATCCAGGAACAATTATATAAGCACCAGCTCTATATTCCATCTATATTTCAATCAGTTAAATCAGTTATACAATCTATGTTAAATGATGAAACCCTTTATTGATGTGCCTATTTTTCAACTAAGAAGTAAGAAAACTCATCTGTTTTTTTTTTCTCATACCAATATCACGTCAAATCAGAAGGTGTTATAGTTGGCATATACATGCTTAGCACTAGTATGTGAGATAAAGTCTGCATTTTAGCCATATTGATATATATAAAAAAAAGAAAAACATGGTATATTTTTTCTTTTTCTATTTTGATATTTTAGTAGGAAAACTGAATGATTAGACATTATTTGAACTACAACAAATTCACCTGAATTACATAATTCAGTATTAACTGAGGAAGACCGTATATTAAACACTCTTAACTTTCATCATATAGAGGACGCAGAAAACCTTGTCCTCGGGTATTTTTCGCCAAGACACAAGTTGTATTTCTAAAAAACAAACAAATCAAAAAAAAAAAGACACATAAATTTAAAAACCTTTACATTTGTATGTCCTACTTAGTTATTTGACCCAGTTCATACTCAGAAAAAGCCAGAATATTCCTCTATTCCAGAATGTGATTGCCTGCTGACTTAAGAGCAAGAAGTTGAATATTTCCCCTGATAGAAAGCTGACAAGTCATTATGAGGAACTGTGTCTTCTAACTTCATACCAGTACCATTCTGTACTGGGTTAATTGCTTGAATATTGTCCTGTGTCACACTGACTACAATCTCCATAAATATAACTATTGCTTTAAAACACATAAAAGCAACATTTTATAAAAAAAGAAATTATTTTTAAAACAGAAAATCTTAGAAGTAGACTCATATTCTGCTACTTCATTATTTCAGTGTTTGAATATATAATGCATTCAAAGAAGTAGCTGACTATTTATTGTTTAGTCATTATTGATACACAGTTTTCAATGAAAGGAAAAAATATATAAAGACATCAGATTTCAGTATTCCTTTGTGTGTGTATAATCAATCCAAGATGGATTTTCTATGAGACAACACCAATATCCAGAACTTCTCAAACAATACACGAAGTCTAGTGACATCCCAACAACACAGTGTGTATATGCATTGTAATTGATACTATCAAGAGTATATATTGATTTTCAAAATCCTCTGAAAATCACTATTCTCAGCATCTTCTCTAAAATTTCCAAAAACCCCAAATATTGATATGAAGTTTGATAGAAGACCTATTAAAAGTTACAGGAAGGCTTTTTTCTTTTTGAGGGAAAAAAAAAAGTATTAAAAGTGAAACCAAAACTCACCATATGAAAACCTTAAAAAGAGATTGATAACCAAAACTCCTGACTGCAAACAAATTTCTATAATACAAAACAATTTGTTTACAACAGTCTTCAGAGGCTAGGAGGCATACAGTGGAACAAGTTAATTTCCTTCTTGTTTCAGGTAAAGGAATGATAGTACAATATCTGATTTTTACACAAATACATCAAGACTGTTTTGATATGTACTGTTTATTATAACCCTTAGTGCCTTTCTGTAAGACATCACTAGCTGTACTGAGAGTTATCGCCACCATAACTTTCACTCTTTAATTTTCAATAGACAGTTTCTGGACTGAGGGGAGGGGAAGAAGGGTGTTGGGTTGAGTGATAAGCAGAGCAATATTTATTGATTTTGTCATCAGCTATAATGGGTCAACAGGATGAAAAGCTCTCTCCTACTCTGAATGTAGCAGCCCTCATAGAATACTAAAGATCTTTAAAATGCAAATAGACTATTTAATAAGTCTTTTATTGTGCTAAGCTAGTGCTTACATACATGTTTACTGACTAATGTCAATATTGTTAGCATTTTGTTTAATATATAATAAAAAAATCTCACCACAGAAACAATCAAGTGGTGCATACTTAAAAAGCACAGTTAGACATAAAGTTCTTATTTTCTAGTCATATATTAAATGCTGTTTCTCAAGCTAGTATTTTTAAGACATATTTGTATGTCCAGTGCTCAAAGTAATAGTGTCTCCATAAACAAAAACCCAGCTACTTCCTGACAGAGTTTCACACATGAAATGCAACAGCAGAAATCACAATAAGATGCCGTGACGTTCACTTCACTGCATGCAGACTAGTCACCACAAATTTCTAGCTTCACCAGGACGCACTTGAGGGCAGACCGTGCAGAAGCACGTTAACGCAGGCCACGCACCACAACCAGAACGCCAGAGCCAGCGAGTTTGGATATGCCAGAGGTCTCAGCGAACCGGACCGCGCTCCGAGACGCAAGCGAATGGTGCCAGGGGCACAAGTGTCAGAGTTATTTCTGGAGTTCCTTCCCCGCAGCGAGGCCGGCGCGGTGAGCAGAGCGCAGCCCTTGCCTTGCCTTGCAGCACCCCGGACAGCAGCCGTCCCGCCAGAGCCACCGTCCCTGCCGTCCCCGGCCCCGCATCGGCCCCGCATCTGCCCCTGCCTCCCCACCGCGCTGGGGCAGAGCAGGCGCACTCGAGGGTTGCAGAAAAGAATACGAAAACAATAATAATAATAATAATAATAATAATAAGATTGCACCGAGTTTCTCCCTCTTGTCAAAATGTTAACACAGACTGGTTGGCCAATTTCTCAAAACATTGCAGGATAACATCAGTAGATAGGCTGGGCTTATACAGTCAGTGCAACCCATTAATGTTCTTTTTTTTTTCTTTTTCTTTTTTCCTAATCAGCAGAAATATTAGAAGTATTTCTCCTTTTTCAAGCTCTCAAGGGGAATTAATTATATAGTGAGCATTTGCTACACTGTACTTTTTCAGCATCTCTTATGCTATTACATGTTGTAGAGCAAAGACAAACTTTGTGGTAAGGCTCCATCGAGACTAAACTGTGATATAAACTGTGATAGACAAACCAACCTAAGAATGTAGATATTGATTATTTGGCAGCACTGAGCTGTAGGTCAATGAAGACGTTACTGGAATGGCAAATATGTTTTTACACATATACTTATATTTGCTTTTTATTGCTTCCAAATCACTCAGTTTGGAGACAAAATTTATTTATGTTATCAGCACATAAAATAGATGTAATGAGTGTGTATACACTCATGTTAAAGTGGAATTCAAAAAAAACCTTTACTTTGGTCAAGTCTAGTGAGGAAAGAAAAACCTGATGGTAACATTCCCATTTTATTCATAGAGATAACAAGAATACTTAACTTCTAGGAGGATTTAGGGTTTATTTTGATGTAGAATAGGTGTATATCACAGCATCTTTTCAAATAATAAGATTATTTAGATACGTGCTGTTACCACAAAGTGATTCCAGAAGGCCCCACTGAAGTTACAGAGTGTTAAGGCCTTCTGCTTGGAGTGGTGATTTGTATGCATTATTGTGCTCCACTGGCAACATAGCATTGCTTAATGTAGTACTAAAGTAATCTAGGTAGCCGACTCTGCAGGCAGAAACCATTCATATGGCCTGACTTAGTAAATACACAAGCAAATGAGAGTAATAACATAATTAATAAATAAATAACATGTTGACTGTTGTGGGTTTTTTTAAGATGCCAAATACAACTCTCTTTTTTTCTTTTTTTTTTTTTTCTGCCCTTTTTTTGTCTTGAGAGTTGGGCCAACTAATCTTGCACAGAACTCGAGAGCAGACAACGATTAGAGAGAGGCAGCGCGGGGCTCTCCCTTCTAACAAAACTGGAACGGGGGGAATCTCCGGATCTCTGACAGGTCACGGGTGTCCCGGCGAGGGAAACGCCGGCGCTTACGGACACGCTGTCGCCGTCGCCCCCCGCGCGGAGGGCACTGCAGCGCCCAGCCCTAGCGCAGAGCTCTGCCCGGCTCCGCACGGCTCCGGCCGCTCCGCGCCCGCGCAGCGCCGCGCTCATTGACATGCAGCCGCCGTCGCCGCCTCCCGACGAGCCGCGGCCGAGCCCGCTGGAAGCCGCCAGCCGAGCCGGAGCCGATCGCATATTCATGAGCAGGGGGGGAAGTGCAGCTCCGCGCTCCCCGACGAGCG